AGATTCAGGTTCAGAGATCATCAAGATTCAGGTTCAGAGATCATCAAGATTCAGGTTCAGAGATCATCAAGATTCAGGTTCAGAGATCATCAAGATTCAAGTTCAGAGAATATCAAGGTTCAGAGATCATCAAGATTCAGGTTCAGAGATCATCAAGATTCAGGTTCAGAGATCATCAAGGTTCGGGTTCAGAGATCATCAAGATTCAAGTTCAGAGAATATCAAGGTTCAGAGATCATCTAGGTTCAGGTTCAGAGATCATCAAGGTTCAGGTTCAGAGATCATCAAGGTTCAGTTTTAGAGATCATCAAGGTTCAGGTTCAGAGATCATCAAGGTTTAGGTTTAGAGATCATCAAGGTTCAGTTTCAGAGATCATCAAGGTTCAGTTTCAGAGATCATCAAGGTTCAGGTTCAGAGATCATCAAGGTTCAGTTTCAGAGATCATCAAGGTTAGGGCGTTAGGAAATCGAGCAACTTTAGTGACTGTATATGAGCTTTTATTTGTGGTCAGAGAGGAATCGGTGGTTTACGATGTGATTGATTAGTTTTGTTTTTGTGACATTCTCTGATTAGAGATGACTGATATGAGAGCTGTTGGTTGGTAAGTGGAGAAAGAACGCATCGTATATTTGAGGAATAAGATAGACATTGGCTAACTTTTAAGAAGAGTAAAATTAAATGGGAAGAATAAAGAAGTGTACACATGTTATTGAATAAGAGACTGAACACCATCAAATAGTGGAACTTTATTTGGAAAAAAACTGGAAAGAGAATAAATCACTAGACGGGTATAAAATTTTCATGGTGTCATAGGATGGAATAATCTAGTGTAGGTCATGCTATTTTTTTACCGTTATGCTGAGTTTGTCCGTGTGTATTGACTGACAAACTGACTTTTTTTCTGTATTTCAAAGTGATTGATTCTATTGCTCATTAAACGTGTAGCGTGTGGGAACTTGCACCCCAAACTCTCAGTCCGCATTTTTTTCTTCTTCAAAACTAGGCCCTCTGTACACCAGGTGATTAGTCCATCACTCGCCCCACCCAGCTTGTGCTTCAATGATTTGGCCATCAGCCAACCCCAACCCCGCAAAAAAATCGTAATATACTGATATATGTATCCTTCATATGTAGAGGTATTGTGTGTATATATATATATATATATATATATATATATATATATATATATATATATATATATATATATATATATATATAATCAACTTCCACTCATGACTCTGCCCGACTTCTGTTTTAAATACCAGACGTATCGATCCGTGGAACCAACAAATTTGTGTATAGTGCAATTCACTGCTAGACCAAGGAGAAGATATACCAGTACTAGAATGGTATTATCACATTAAAAATTAAACATTAAATCTTTAAACAACTAAGAGATTTGATAAATATAAAATGGGCCTTTTAAAGATAATTATAACTGTACTAGACTACAGTATGTGCCCTAGACTAGTTGCATCACTGTGTGTTTGGCAGAGCCTCACAGTAGCTTCATCCACTCTATATTCACACGGAGAGAATTTAAAGGATTTTTCAAACCACAAAATATTTTATTATATTTATTATACATATTGATCTCCTGAATGAATACAATCTAATCGGAACATGTACAAAATATGAAAGTCTAGTAATTTTGTCAGGAACCATTTAGAAAAATAGCTTCGGTAAATTATTTATCAAAACTATTTCCTACCTCTTACGTTCTGCCGGCACCGACACACCAAGGAAGTCGCACTATGTACTTCTCTTATCTATGACAAATGAAAATGTTTTCTAACAATATTTAAATAGAACATCTTGTACCTTACGACCTTCCTTTATTTCATATCTGATGTTGGTATATTTTTTGAGAAGGGTTAGTTGAAAAATTGTTAAAGTACAGTATTAAAATTCTAGAAGGTAAGGCTTCTTCTCCGGCCTTCCTCTCATCAATACACTTTCATCTGAGTCATATTTACCTTACATGATTTAAGAAAAATAAAAAAATATTTAATCAAACTACGATTACTTACAGTTAATATCTACTGTACTATTACATAACTATCATTATCAAAATTATTACAGTCAATTGCCTGATCAATTGTCCTATCACCTAACTGCAACACAAGGAAGAAAAGCACGAAGTTCCCAGCGCTTTCGGTAATTCACATCTTCAGGGTAGTACAGACTGAGAAATACAAATCAAGGTGTATTTATACAGAGGAAGGGTGAGACCAGGTCACAATGGTCAGGTATTACCTAATACCTGACCATGTGGTTGGTTATACTTACCACAGTGATTTACTTGCATATATATATATATATATATATATATATATATATATATATATATATATATATATATATATATATATATATATGTTTGTGTGTGTGTGTGTGTGTGTGTATATGTGTGTACATAATTTATTTACTATTATTAACCTCCAATCAAGTAAAGTCAGTGATATATTAAATAAACATGAGAAGGGAAGATTGACGTCAGGAAAGGACCGGGAAGTGCGAGTAAGACTTGAAGGTGAGGGTAAGACTTGAAGGTGAGGGAAGACTTGATGGTGAGGTAAGACTTGAAGGTGAGGTAAGACTTGAAGGTGAGGTAAGACTTGATGGTGAGGTAAGACTTGAAGGTGAGGGTAAGACTTGAAGGTGAGGTAAGACTTGATGGTGAGGGTAAGACTTGAAGGTGAGGTAAGACTTGAAGGTGAGGTAAGACTTGAAGGTGGAGGTAAGACTTGAAGGTGAGGTAAGACTTGATGGTGAGGTAAGACTTGAAGGTGAGGGTAAGACTTGAAGGTGAGGGTAAGACTTGATGGTGAGGGAGGACTTGAAGGTGGAGGTAAGACTTGAAGGTGAGGGTAAGACTTGAAGGTGAGGGTAGAGCTTGAAGGTGAGGGAACTTGAAGGTGGAGGTAGAGCTTGAAGGTGAGGTAAGACTTGAAGGTGGTAGACTTGAAGGTGAGTAAGACAAAGGTGAGGTAAGACTTGAAGGTGAGGGTAGACTTGAAGGTGAGGGTAGAGCTTGAAGGTGGGGTATGATGACTCGAAGGTGAGGGTAAGACTTGAAGGTGGGGTAAGACTTGAAGGTGAGGGTAAGACTTGAAGATGAGGTAAGACTTGAAGGTGAGGGTAAGACTTGGAAGGTGGGGGTAAGACTTGAAGGTGAGGGTAAGACTTGAAGGTGAGGGTAAGACTTGAAGGTGAGGGTAAGACTTGAAGGTGGGGGTAAGACTTGAAGGTGAGGGTAAGACTTGAAGGTGGGGGTAAGACTTGAAGGTGAGGGTAAAACTTGAAGGTGGGGGTATGACTTGAAGGTGAGGGTAAGACTTGAAGGTGAGGGTAAGACTTGAAGGTGAGGGTAGACTTGAAGGTGAGGGTAAGACTTGAAGGTGAAGGTAAAACTTTCCTTAGAGAGAGAGAGAGAGAGAGAGAGAGATAATATAAACAAAGGAACAGTGGGCGTGAGTGGATAACAGCTACAGGCCCACATAAAAAGCTATAGGAAGAACATTTAAAGAGTAAGTGAAGTTAAGTAAAATGTACTGTAAGAGAGGTGACTGACAAACAGTACTGACAAAATTATAATAATGGAGCCGAGTATGATTGTTGAGGAGGTATTTGAGAAAGACACATGCTGGCCAGAATGAGTATGGAGTGTCACAAGTGGTTGTGGTGGTTTGATAATGATGGCAGTGTTGGTTGTCGTAATGGTGACAGTGATGGTAGTTATGGTGGTGGTAAGGGTTATTGATATGGTAGTGTTGGTTGAAGTGGTTGTTGTGATGTGGTTGTGATGATGGTCGGTGGTGTTTAGTGGTAGTAATGATGTTAGTGTTAATCGTTGCTGGAGACGGTGGTGATGATGGTGGTAGTGGAAGTAAAATAAATGGGGATGATGGTGATGGTTACTGGGGGTTGTGGTAGTGGTGTGGTAATTGTGGTGATTATAAGGGCGGTAATGAGCGGGATGGTTGTCCGCCGCTCGTTTGCTTGTTCTTGGCCCCACTAGGGTGGGTAGACGGAGGTGAGAAGGTCGCTGCTGCTTAGTCACACATCAGACACTACCCAGCCGTCAACACAGCTGTACTTGCACCCCGCTGTTCGTTCAAACTCTGGTCATGTACTCATCTGAGGCTCCTGGGGCTCGTGGGCTGATTCCCCAGACCTTCACTATTTGGCTGTCAATCTCCAGACACCTGCTCCAGCTACTATTGCGGCTGCCATGTCATCGCTACTTCCTCCACGCCCTATCCACCGTCCGTGCCCTGGCGTCTCTCCTGTGTGGCAAGACATCGCCCACCAACGCCGGCGCCAAGTGAGGAAGCTGCCCTGGACCTTCCCCCTGAGAGCAGACCACAGCGTCAACGGAACATTCCACCGGGCTGCAGCCGTAGGATATATCTGTACTTTGTTTGACCTTCGTAATTGTTGACTCCTTTAATTGTTTGACTCCCTTAATTGTTTGACTCAATTAATTGTTTGACTCCCATAATTGCTTATTTGATATTTGTGTAAGTGGTGTCAATTATTGTGATTGTGTTCTTAGTAGAGAGATGTCAATCTCTAACGGTTGTTTGTTACCCCCTGGATGCCCATGGTTCTTGACTTTCCTTTTATAAGATCCTGTTTAGGCTGGCAAGGTATTTATATCCCAAAGTCCAAGCCTTTACAGTGATTGGTGTGGCTGTTTTGATGTACTTAATGGTGGTGGTGATGTTTATGATAGTGGTTGCAATGGTGGTTGGTGTGGTTGCGGTGATTATGGCAAATGAACATTGGTGATTTGAGGTGGTTAAGATGATAATGTAACGCGGTGGTCATGATAAGTATGGTAGTGATGTATTAGTGATGATAGTGGTGGTGGTGGTGATGATGATGATGTGTAGTGGTGGTGATGGTGTGTAGTGGTGATGGTGTGCAGTGGTGGTGTGTAGTGGTGGTGGTGATGATGATGATGTGTAGTGGTGGTGATGGTGTGTTGTGGTGATGGTGTACAGTGGTGGTGATGGTGGTGTGTAGCGGTAGTGGTGATGGTATGTAGTGGTGCTGTTGGTGGTGGTGTATAGTGGTGGTGGTGGTTGTGATGGGCTGTGTGGCTTCACCCTGCTCATCACCGTTGCAGCATCTGTTGAAACAGAACTCGGTGATAACAGTAAAAAATATATATCCCGGTGTATAAATGAGTATCAACATTAAACATACGTACATACAAGTATATGAACATACACAAATATAGAGAGGAAGGTACACGTACGAAACACCAGTCACCGAAGATAATCCGGTAATATAAAAAGACGTTAAGGAAGTAACACAGCCACTCACCACGACACAGCGTCACCGACAGTCCTGACACAGTAGAGGCAACAGCAGCAGGCACCAACACAGCACCTGCACGTCGCTGTGAACGGTAATGGAACCTGCAGTGTGGACGGCAGCAGATTCCTCGCCTGAAGGGAAGGAAATTTAAAAATTCCTTTGCAAACTTTATGATAAGGAGCGATATTACCGATGTTCGTCAGGTGTTATCAGGAAAGGAAACTCTGGGGTGTTGACAAGCTGCAGTGCTCTTTTTATCAAGCACAAGAACATTTTTTAAAAAATTAAAGATTAAATCAAGATTTGGTAATACATGCAGCATGACTAACTACTATTAACACACCATCTAGAAATTATAACTTACGCCCCACTCCTCCCATAGGTTCAATGTTGAAAATGTAGTGTTGGACGTTTATGTTGTGGTGCTCGATTATAAACGGGCATCAAGATTAACTCTGAGCTAATTTATGTTCACCAACTCTACTTCTGAGTCGGTTTTATGTTCACCAAGTCTACTTCCGAGTTAATTTATGTTCACCAAGACTACCTCTGAGTTACAGACACCAGATACCAACATTATCACAATTTGTATCAGCGTTTATAGTTATAGAGATATCATTTAACATTTAACACACACACACACACACACACTATTAACTTCCCAATAATCACGTGCCCTTTCCTTCACTACTATCTGGTGCACTAACGCTTGTAATTGAATATCATGATGGATTCTTAACCACATTCAGCAAGTCAAAAATTATTCCACTTTTACCTGCTAGTGAGACGTGAACAACCATTATTCCTGCTTACGGCGGTTCATCGCGTTCTGAAGAGCTAAACAATAAGTACTTTACCCTCATTGACGAGTTAACACTTCGATTAGATTGCGCCAAAGTGTATTAGACCTCGCATTTAGTTTGAATAAATGGACAGCAGTACGAACATTTTCTATGAACCAATCAGCTATTTGTAGCTTACTGGCCAGGTAAGCGTAGAAATACTATAGATGTATCAAGACTCGCCAAGTGCCATGTGACACACCATTTGACACTTTTACCAGGACTCAACAGGATCATCATAGATCATCGGGATCACCAGAACTCACCAGGCAGACCAAAACATTCCAGATGCACAAGAACTCGTTAGGTCTACCAGGACTTCCAAGGTGCACCAAGACTCACCAGGACAGAAATTAGGTCACCAGGATTCACCATTTACCACGTCACGTGCACCAAGACGGAAGCTGGGTCACTAAGACTCACCATTGACCACGCGCACGAGGACGGAAGTTAGGTCAACAGGACTCACCATTGACCACGTGAACCAGTACGGAAGCTAATGTCACCAGGAATCACCATTAACCACGTGCACCAGGACAGAAGCTGAGTCAGCAGGACTCACCATTGACCACGTGCACCATGACGGAAGCTAATGTCACCAGGAATCACCATTAACCACGTGCACCACGACAGAAGCTGGGTCAGCAGGACTCACCATTGACCACGTGCACCAGGGTGGAAGCTAGGTCACCAGGAATCACCACTGACCACGTGCTTCAGGACGGAAGCTGGGTCACCAGGACTCACCATTGATCACGTGCACCAGGACGGAAGTTACGTCACCAAGACTTACCATTAACCACGTGAACCAGGACGGAAGCTGGGTCACCAGGAATCACCACTGACCACGTGCACCAGGACAGAAGCTGGGTCAGCAGGACTCACCATTGACCACCAGGATGGAGGCTGGGTCACCAGGAATCACCATTAACCACGTGCTTCAGGACGGAAGCTGGGTCACCAAGACTCACCATTGACCACGTGTGCACCAGGACGGAAGCTGGGTCACTAGGACTCACCATTAATCACGTGCTTCAGGACGGAAGCTGGGTCACCAGGACTCACCATTAATCACGTGCACCAGGACGGAAGCTGGGTCACCAGGACTCACCATTGATCACGTGCACCAGGATGGAAGCTGGGTCACCAGGAATCACCACTGACCACGTGCTTCAGGACGGAAGCTGGGTCACCATGATTCACCATTGATCACGTGCACCAGGACGGAAGCTGGGTCACCAAGACTCACCATTGATCACGTGCACCAGGATGGAAGCTGGGTCACCAGGAATCACCACTGACCACGTGCTTCAGGACGGAAGCTGGGTCACCATGATTCACCATTGATCACGTGCACCAGGATGGAAGTTAGGTCACCAAGACTCACCATTGACCACGTGCACCAGGACGTAAGCTGGGTCAGCAAACTGCGGGACACAAGTGTAGTTACCGAGGTCGTCCTTCCCTGCCCGAGTGAGGAAGAGTTTAGACGTGGTCCTGGCGGGAGTCTTCTCTATCTCTACACTTACGCCGCCCCTGTGAGAGAGAGACGGTGAGAGACAGTGAGAGATAGTGAGACAGGTGGTCCTGGCGGGAGTCTTCTCTATATCTACACTCACGCCGCCCCTGTGAGAGAGAGACGGTGAGAGACAGTGAGAGATAGTGAGACAGGTGGTCCTGGCGGAGTCTTCTATATCTACACTCACGCCGCCCCTGTGAAAGAGAGAGACAGTGAGAGATAGTGAGACATGTGGTCCTGGCGGGAGTCTTCTATATCTACACTCACGCCGCCCCTGTGAGAAAGAGACAGTGAGAGATAGTGAGACAGGTGGTCCTGGCGGGAGTCTTCTCTATCTCTACACTCACGCCGCCCCTGTGAGAGAGAGACGGTGAGAGACAGTGAGAGATAGTGAGACAGGTGGTCCTGGCGGGAGTCTTCTCTATCTCTACACTCACGCCGCCCCTGTGAGAGAGAGACAGTGAGAGACAGTGAGACAGGTGGTCCTGGCGGGAGTCTTCTCTATATCTACACTCACGCCGCCCCTGTGAAAGAGAGACAGTGAGAGTATGTATGCGAGACAATCTTGGTCAGATATCTATCAAGGATAACTCATACATGGGAAACACATACCTAGGAGACACACACACCTGGGACATACACACCTGAGACATACACACACACACTCACCTGGGTCACACACACCTGGGACACACACACCTGGGACATACACACCTGAGACATACACACATCTGGGACACACACACACACACACCCGGGACACACACACATACCTGGGAGACACACACCTGGGAGAGTCATAGTCAAGACGTTGAGAGTCGCGGAACCAGTTGACGGCGCCGACGTTGTCCGAGTGTGAGTTGACGAGGCAGGTGAGGCGGATGGTGGAGCCCTTCTGGATGTACACCTCCCCCGGGCCCTCGATCTTGGCCTGCTGGACTAAAGCACAACACAATGTTACTGCCTCTTTATGTTTAAAATTGTAACTGTAGCTAGCGAACAGAAACAAAAACATAGACACTGTACTTTGTATACAGTAAACGTACGAGGGTCATTCAATAAGTAACGAGACTTTTTTATGTAGGCGGCAAAGGGGTGAGGCAAGCGCGGTGATCATGTTACATGTTTAGATATGTATAAGCTACATCTTCCTCTATTTCTGTTTTAATCATTTCATTATATTAGTCTCAAGTAAGTGTTGCATTAACGATGAGTGCTCCGCTTAAACTTTGTATTTTGGAATAACAAGGATCCATTATTCGTTTTCTAAATTCAGAGGGGATAAAAAACAAGCAAATTTCATCGCAGAATCTCACTTCACTGCGGAAGCAATTGCATCAGTCAGGCAAACATTTACAAGTGAGTTGAACAATTCAAGAATGGTCGAACAAACATTGTAGACGAAAATTAAGCGGATTTTTTTTTTGGGGGGGGGGGCGAACCGACGCACCCCGCTTACAGTCCAGATCTCGCACCATTTTTCGAATAATGAGGAGGAAGAAAAAATCCGAAATTGGTTACGGAGTCAGCCGAAATAATTTTTCGCTACAGGAATAAGAAAAATAAGTAAATGGTCATTAATAATAAATTATTAATTCTTCAGTTATTTTCATTTGTCTCGTTTTTAATGATTTTTGGGTTATGTATTGATCATTTTTTTTAACATACATAGTGGGGTGAGGAAGTCATTTTGTTGAGTAGAATTTTTTTTTTCGTTACATAAGAGCTGTCGCGGTGCTGTGTTCTTACGTCTGGTAGGTGTTTACGGTGAGGGAAATGTTATCATACTTCACAGCTCCTACTGACAATTGAATTACAAGGTAATATTGAGGAAGCATTATCCCAGTCAATGCAATGCTTATTATCTCTCATATGAATGAACAGAGCATTGGATTCCTGTGACTTGATCTCGCTCTCCTCTGCTGTATATATTAGCCTTGTCAAGTATTACTCCTTCCCACACACACTCTCTTCCCACTCACCATGACCGGTTACGAAGACTCCAAGGTGTCTCAGATACGCCCAGTTATGCAGACCTACGCCAAAAAATTAAACCTCCTAGTCCTCAAGAAGTTCTTTGAAACTGAAGGGATCGTGGTGATTACCAAGGTAGAACGACTGAAGCTGCATGGAGACATCAAGATCACCTTCGCCGAATATGGTCAGCCCTGACAACTCGCAGAGCTCTCTGACATCAACGGCATCCAAGTACATACAAGAGCCTACATGTGGGACAACTTGAAGCTGGGAGTAATCTCCCACGCCGAAATTGCCCACATGGACGCAAAAGAGCTGGGCCAACTACCTGAGGGACAACTCAGCTGTGTCAAGAAGCTGTCCGACACCACTGCCATCGTCGGACACCACGAAACCCTACCCAAAGAGGCTCTTCAGGCATGGGTAACTATGCCAGTTAAGCCCTACTGCAGACCCAAACGCTGCTACAAATGCCAGCACTACGGTCACACTGTCAACAAGTGTGAGGCGCAGGAGGACATATGCTCCCTGTGCGGTACCCCCGGACACCGCTACACCGCCTGCCGCAATCTCAGTGGGGCTGTGTAGCCAAGTGGGGTTCCTCAGGGGTCCGTACTGGGCCCACTCTTGTTCATAATCTACATAAACGATCTAGATACTGGGAACAGCATTGACATAGCAAGTTTGCGGATGACACCAAAATAGGGCAGAAGATTAATTCAGGGCAGGATGCGAATTCACTACAGGAGGATTTAAATAAACTGCAGGAGTGGTCAGAAAAATTGCAAATGATATTCAACACCAGCAAGTGCAGCGTACTTAATATTGGAAGAACAAATACTGTCAATGTATACAACCTTGACAACATCAACCTAGAGAAGTCGATTTGTGAAAGAGATTTAGGGGTAATGGCTAGTGCGACTTGTGAACAGGGCTGTGCCCTTCTGAGGGTCGAGCTAGAGAGGGCCAGGGAAGATATTTTGAAATTAAAAGAAGATATAGCGAGGATGAAGGGTGAAACGAGACAAAGAAAGCAGGTGAATGACGAATGGAAGGTTGTAAGGAGAGGGACGACCAAACAGGTGGTGAGAAAAGACACCAAGGAAACGACAACAACAGCTAAGTGTACCAACTCTTTCAGTCCTTTGATAGACGAATTGGACGTTAGTATAGTCATGGACAAGGCTGACAAGGAAGGTAAGAAAATCTTGATTGTCGGCGACTCGCAGGTACGGTACATGGACAGAGCTTTTTGCGGTAAAGATAAAAATAGAATGAGGGTGTATTTGCCAGGAGCTGGGATGGGGGATATAGTTGACAGGATGGACAATATCTTGTCTGGTAATGGGAACAAACCCATTATCTGCCTCAGTGCAGGAGGCAATGATATTGGCCGGTGTAGGAGTGAGGAGCTTCTTGATAAGTTGAAGACAGCTATAGAACGTGTTAGGTCTAGGGGAGGGATCCCTATCATATGTGGTGTCCTGCCTAGAAGGAGAGTTGGCAATGAATGGTTGTCAAGGGCAGTTGGTGTCAACAGCCGTCCTGACAGATATTGCAAGTCAATATCTGTCCCATTCATTGACAACGGCAGAAGGGACCTATATGCTAGGGATGGGGTGCATCTGTCTAGGGATGGAGTGGCTACCCTGGCTGGGACTCTTGAAAGGGCAGTCCAAAAGATGTCGAAGTCTTTAAACTGCTAGGGGAACATGTGAGCATGGGGGTGGAGGAGATTGCAGTGGGAACGGGTAAACAAAGTGAAAGGTTACAGGGACATAGTGTTAGGAATGACGACAAAACTAAATTAGACAGCGAGTTAAAACCTAAACGCGGCAAAGGGATGACTCATAACCCGTCTAATTTAAATGTCTACTACGCGAACAGTAGAAGTATGAGAAACAAAATGGATGATATTAGGGCCTTGGTATGTACCGAGAAAATCGATATAATAGCATTCACTGAAACATGGATCAACCTAGACTCACGGGAGTTACCTGTCGAATACCAAATTGCAGGTTACAAATTATTCCATACCGATAGGCAGATTAGGAAAGGAGGCGGAGTAGCAATCTATGTCAGGGATAATCTGAAGTGTGAAATAAATAAGGAAATAAAAACTGACTGGAATACAGAAACAATTTGGATAGAATTAATCGACGGTAGGGAAAAATTAATCACAGGAGTAATATATAGACCTCCCAATCTTGATGGAGTTAATGAGCAACTTATTTGGGATGAAATACTCAGGGCTTCCATACACAGCAAAGTCTGTATAGTAGGCGATTTTAACTTTAGCCAAATAGATTGGATTGACCTTACGGGTAACTCAGAATCAGAGGATTTTCTTGAAACAATCCAGGGCTGTTTTCTAGGTCAACATATAACCGAACCCACCCGGGGTAATAATATACTCGATTTAGTTCTGTTGAACAGAGGAAACCTCATTAGTCATGTCGAGGTAGGGAACGAACGTGCAAACAGCGATCATAAAGAAATTAGATTCCAGTTAAATTTTCAGGGCAGCCGTAAGGAAAATTCCACAAAAGCCCCAGATTTCAGAAGGGCAAACTTTGATAGTTTGAAGAGGCACTTGAGAGAAGGGGTATCACACTTGGGGGTGAACTACTTGGACCTGAAGATTGAAACCGACCTGAAAACGAGATCTGAGGTTGCCGAGTTCCACGACAAATTAAATAATCAGTTATTTAATACACAAAGGCAGAACATACCATACAAAAAACTCAGATCAAACAAGAATGACCCTAAATGAATAATTAATTATTTAAAGAACATTATTGGTCAAAGGAAGGCTACAGGTAGGAGGATAAATCGTGGCGAAATTTACCTCCGGGATTATTATAAGGTATTGGCCGGTAGGGTTAAGACCGAGATAAGGAAAGCAAAGAGGAATAATGAGCTGAGGATAGCAAGGGAGGCGAAGACAAACCCCAAGGGATTCTATCAAATGTATCAAACTAAAACACAAGAAAAGATTAGGCCAATACAGTCAGATAGCGGCGAGCTAACTGATAACGACGGAGAAATGAGCAATAATCTGAATAAGTATTTTTCAACAGTTTTCACCACCGAAAATTTAAACATGATACCCTAGGTACCCACTCTATTCAGAGATCGTGAAGAAACAAATTAAGCGAGATAGTAGTGACTAGTAACGATGTTAGTAAGCAAATAGACAAACTAAAGCCTAATACGTCGCCTGGTCCCGATGAGATATTTGCCAGAGTATTAAAGGAATGTAAGGAAGAGCTTAGTATGCCCTTAGCAAAGTTGTTTAACATGTCCTTAAAAACAGGTCCTGGAGGATAGCGAATGTTATACCGATTTTCAAGAAGGGGGATAGATCACTATCCTCCAACTACCGTCCAATCAGTCTAACATCAATTGTAGGCAAATTACTGGAATCAATCATTTCAAACTGTATTCGAAACCATCTGGAGAAGCACAAATTGATCAATGATTCCCAGCATGGCTTCACAAGCAGGCGTTCATGTCTAACTTATCTATTAACATTCTTTTCATCAGTTTTTGAATCGGTGGACGAGGGGCACAATTATGATGTGGTATATCTTGACTTTAGCAAAGCCTTCGACAGAGTCCCCCACGAAAGACTAATAAGAAAGGTAGAAGCACATGGCATTAAAGGTAATATTCTAAAATGGATTAGGGCATGGTTACAGGACAGGAAACAGCGAGTGAGCATTAACGGCACAAAATCCCATTGGAGCAACGTCACTAGTGGAGTTCCCCAAGGTTCAGTACTTGGACTATTATTATTTATTATATACATAAACGACATAGATATCGGCACAGACAGCAACATAAGTAAATTTGCTGATGACACTAAAATAGGACGTGTAATTAAATCTGACGAGGACTCCACAAAACTACAGGAAGATCTAAACAAATTTTTCGACTGGTCTGAAAAATGGCAGATGAAATTCATTGTGGACAAATGTAAAGAACTCAGTATAGGAGACGGAAACAGGGAAACCAGTTACCAGATGAACAACGATGCCATTGAGAAATCCGACTGCGAGAGAGATTAGGAGTAATGATAAGTAGGAACCTTAAACCAAGTAAACAATGTGTTTTTGCTCGTAACAAGGCTAATAAAGTACTTGGGTTCATACAAAGGAGTGTTAGTTACAAGACTAGCGAGGTCATCCTAAAACTGTATCTTGCTCTTGTGAGACCACACCTGGACTACGCAGTTCAGTTCTGGTCACCGTATTACAGAATGGATATAGAATCCTTGGAAAGAATCCAGAGGAGAATGACAAGACTAATCCCGGGCATTAGGAACCTTGAGTACAGAGACAGGTTAAAGCGTTTTAATCCGCACTCCCTCGAGAGACGTAGTGCTAGGGGCGACATGATAGAGGTGTATAAATGGAAGTCAGGGCTAAACAAAGGGATCAATACAAAGATACTCAAACTATCCAACCAGGAGCGAACTCGTAACAATGGTTTTAAATTAAACAAAATTAGATTTAGGAGTGAAATTGGTAAACACTGGTTTGGAAACGGAGTAGTGGATGAATGGAACAAGTTACCAAATATCACCATAAACTCGAATACGTTGGATAGCTTCAAACATAGGTTGGATGCTTATATGAGCAATAGGGGTTGGGTGTAAACGGGGTGCCTAGTATGGGCTAATAGGCCCGCTGCAGTTTCCTCCATTCTTATGTTCTTATGTTTTTACTTGCAGCCCGGACCTACGGCCTAGAAAACAGTGCGTTAATGTTCGAAATAAGGCAAACAGTATTAGGTTTTATATCTAGAAGTGTAAGTAATAAGAGTGAGGAGGTCATATTGCAACTATTTCTTGCGCTAGTCAGGCCGCACTTCGATTATGCTGTTCAGTTCTGGTGCCCTTATTATAGAATGGATATCAATTCACTAGAGTCGGTGCAGCGAAGAATGACGAAAATGATTCCGGGACTTAGAAACCTTCCATATCAAGATAGATTAAAGAAACTAAACTTGCATTCCCAAGAAAGACGAAGAGTGCGGGGAGATATGATGGACGTATTTAAGTGGGTGAAAGGAATCAATAAAGGAGACAAGATAAAGTTCTTATAATATCCGAGCAGGATGGGACTCGTAGCAACGGATTTAAGTTGGATAAGTTTAGGTTTAGGAGGGAGATAGGAAGTATCTGGTTCACAAATAGGGTGGTGGACGTGTGGAACAAGCTTAGCAACTTTGTATTAAGTGCTGGAACGCTGGAAAGTTTTAAATGGAGGCTAGATAGATTCATGGATGATAGAGAGTGGTAGTAACTCTCGACAGGAGCTGCCATGCACAGGCCAACCGGCCTATTGCAGACTCCTTATTTTCTTATGTTCTTATGTTCTTATGTACTCCTTAATCTGTACTCACCCCTGAAGATGTGAATTGAAAGCGTTTGGGAACTTCGTGTTTTCTTGTTTCCTTGTGGTTATCAGCATATATATATATACATATATATATATATATATATATATATATATATATATATATATATATATATATATATATATATATATATATATATATATATATATATATAATTTTAACTTGATACCAATAATAATAAATTCTTATACCCAGAATGGTGATGACAATAGCAAGTACTGTACAAAGTCTCATCAAAAAACAATTTGTTCTCTAAAAGCTGAACCTATACTATATTCATATAGGAACTGTCAAATATCAATACATGCAGTTAGCCTGGTCATGACGCTGGTCCAGTATTTATATACGAGTATACACAATATTTAATTTTTTCCTTTGTTTATTCATTCGTCTCCATAAAATAGTATTAATTCTTTTTGTTATTATTACTCTCAATTATTATCATAATTTTTATTATTATCATCATCTTCATTTTCAATTATTATTACAGACACTAAAAGAGTTTTTATCATTACTGCATTGTATTTATGATAATGTTTATTTTCTATTCTGATTATTGCTAATATTAAAATTATTATCCTCGTTAGTATTAGACTTGCATTGTTGGTTTTATTATTATTATCATTATTAATATTGTTTTTATTATTAACAAAAAAACAATCCAAAATAATTAAAAACTCCCCATTCCACCCCCGAACCTTACCTTCCACAGCTAGGAGAACGGGCAGGGCCACCTTACCTGCGACAGCTAGGAGGACGGGCAGGGCCACGTTATCTGCGACAGCTAGGAGGACGGGCAAGGACACCTTACCTGCGACAGCTAGGAGGACGGGCAGGGCCACCTTACCTGCGACAGCTAGGAGGACGGGCAGGGCCACCTTACCTTCCACAGCTAGGAGGACGGGCAGGGCCACCTTACCTGCGACAGCTAGGGACGGGCAGGGCCACCTACCTGCGACAGCTAGGGACGGGCAGGGCCACCTTACCTCCACAGCTAGGAGGACGGGCAGGGCCACCTTACCTGCGACAGCTAGGAGGACGGGCAAGGCCACCTTACCTGCGACAGCTAGGAGGACGGGCAGGGCCACCTTACCTGCGACAGCCAGAGGACGGGCAGGGCCACCTTACCTGCGACAGCCAGGAGGACGGGCAGGGCCACCTTACTCGAGACAGCTAGGAGGACGGGCAGAGGGCCACCATACCATTCACAGCTAGGAGGACAGGCAGGGCCACCTTACCTTCCACAGTGAGGAAGGGCAGGCCACCCACCTTCACAGCTACGGGGACGGACGGGCCACCTTACCTTCCACAGCTAGGGGGGCGGGCAGGGCCACCTACCTTACCTGCGACAGCTAGGAGGACGGGGCCACCATACCATTCACAGCTAGGGGGACGGACAGGGCCACGTTACCTTACCTGGGGACAGCTAGGAAGACGGCAGGGCCACCTTCCTTCCACAGCTAGGGTCGGACAGGGCCACGTTACCTTCCACAGCTAAGAGGACGGGTAGGGCCACCTTACCTTCCACAGCTAGGAGGACGGGCAGGGAAATCTGGGCTGGAGACCTGACCTGACTCTGATACTCCGGCGTCCCTGAAGGTGATGGGGCTGATCTCCAGGTACCAGTGATGACTGTCCCGCGGATGATACACCTGAGGCGGAGACAAGGCCAGGAGAGGAGGGAGGGAGGAGATGGTGGTGAGGGAGGGAGGAGATGATGGAGAGGGGGTGGGAGATGGTAGAGAGGGCGGAGGAGGTGGTGGTGAGGGAGCAGATAGGGTGGGAGGGGAAGGAGGAGGGTGGGTGAGGGAGCAGATAGGAGGTGAGGAGGGAGGAGAGGGAGGTGAGGGAGCAGATAGTGGTGAGGGAGGTAGGGAGATGATGGTGAGGAGGGAGGAAATGATGGTGAGGAGGGAGGGAGATGGTGGGAGAGGGGTAGGGAGATGGTGGGAGAGGGGAGAGGGGAGGTGGGTGGGAGAGCAGATAGTGGGAGGGAGGGAGGAGAGGTGGGAGAGCAGGGATAGGTGAGGGGAGGGAGGATAGGATGGTGAGGGAGGGAGGAGATGGTTGAGAGGAGGGAGGAGATGGTGGTGGGTGGGTAGAGATAGTGGTGAGGAGGGAGGAGAGGGGTGGTGGAGGAAGCAGAGAGAGAGGGGAGGAGGAGATGGTGAGGAGGGAGGGGAGATGGTGGGGAGGGGAGGAGGTGAGATGGTGAGGGAAGGAGGAGATAGTAGAAGGGAGGGAGGAGATGGTGGAGAGTAGGGGAGATGATGGGAGGGGGGGGAGAGAAGGTGAGGGAGCAGATAGTGGTGAGGGGAAGGAGGAGAGAGGGTGAGGAGATGGTGGTGAGGGGAGGGAGGAGATACAGGAGGGGAGAGAGGAGGGAGGGAAGGAGGGAGGGAGATGGTGGTGGCGATAGCAGGAGGAGGGAGGGAGAGGTGAGGGGTGGGAGGAGACAGAGGGGGAGGGGAGGGGAGGAGGAGATGGTGGTGGGAGGGGAGGGAGGGGAGGAGATGGTGGTGGGGAGGGGAGGGAGGGGAGGGAGGATGGTGGTGGGAGGGGAGGAGGGGAGATGGTGGGGTGGGAGGGAGGAGAGATGGGTGGGAGGGAGAGGAGATGGTGGTGGGAGGAGGGAGGAGATGGTGGTGGGAGGAGGAGGAGATGGTGGGGAGGGAGGAGGGAGGAGATGGTGAGAGGAGAGGGAGGAGATGGGTGAGGGAGGATGATGGGTAGGAGGAGAGATGGGGAGGAGGAGATGGTGGGTAGGGAGTGGAGGATGGGAGAGAAGGGAGGGAGGAGATGGAAGAGGGAGGGAGATGGTGGTGGGGAGGGAGGAGATGGTGGGAGAGGGAGCAGATAGTGGTGAGGGGGAGGGAGGAGATGGTGGTGGGAGGGGAGGAGATGGGGAGGGGAGGGGAGGAGAGGATGGTGGGAGGGGAGGAGGAGAGAGGGGGGGAGGGAGGAGATGGTGGTGAGGGGAGGGGAGGGGAGGAGATGGTGAGGGAGGGAAGCAGGGAGGAGGAGATGGTGGTGAGGAGGGAGGGAGGAGATGATGGGAGGAGGTGGGAGGCTGGGAGGGGATGGGTGGGGAGGGGAGGGAGAGACAGGAGGGGAGGAGGAGATGGTAGGAGGGAGGAGGAGGAGGATGTAAGAGAGGAGGAGATGCAGGAGGGAGGGGAGGGAGGAGGAGATGGTTGGAGGGGAGGGAGGAGATGGTGGTGAGGAGGAGGGAGGAGATGGTGGTGGACGAGGAGGGGAGGGAGAGGATGGTGAAGGAGGGAGGGAGGAGATGTGGGTGGGGAGGAAGGAGGGGAGATGTGGGGGGAGGGAGGGGAGGAGACAGGAGGGAGGGGAGGGAGGAGGTGAAGGAAGGGATAGTGGGGAGGAGGGGAGGGGAGATGGTGGGGAGAGGGGAGATGGGTGAGGGGAGGGAGAAGATGGACAGGGGAGGGAGAGGTGAGGAGAGGAGGGAGGAGATAGGATGGGAGGGGAGGGAGGAGATGGTGGTGGGAGGGGAGGAGGGAGGAGAAGGGGAGAAGGGAGGAGATGGGAGGGGAGGAGGAGATGGGAGGAGGGATGAGATGGGGGAGGGGAGGAGGAGAGGTGGGAGGGGGGGTGGGAGGAGATGGTGGTGGAAGGAGGAGAGATGGTAGAGGAGAGTGAGGTGAGGGAGGGAGGAGATGGTGAAGGAGGGAAGAGATGGTAGAGGGAGGAGATTGTGGGAGGGAGAGGAGAGGTGGTGGGGGGAGGAGATGTGGTGAAGGGAGAGAGGAGATGTGTGAGGGAGGAGATAGCAGGGATGGAAGAGATGGTAGAGAGGAGATGGTGGAGGCAGGGAGGAGATGGTAGGTGAGGGAGGGAAGGATGGTGGTGAGGAGGAGATTGTGGGTGGGAGGAGGAGGAGATGGGGGGAGAGGAGATGGTGAGGTGAGGAGATGGTGGTGAGGGGAGGGAAGGATGGTGGTGGGAGGGGAGGAGATTGTGAGGAGGAGGAGATGGTGGGGGGGAGAGGAGATGGTGGAGGAGGAGATAGTGGGAGGGAGGAGGAGATGGTGGGTGGGAGGAGGAGGAGATGGGGGTGGAGGGAGGGAGGAGATGGTGGAGGGAGGGAGGAGATGGTAGGGAGGGAGGAGGATGGTGGTGGAGGAGGGAGATGGTGGTGAGGGGAGCGGATAGGGAGGCAGGGAGAGGGATGGGTGGGGAGGGGAGGAGGAGATGTGGGTGAGGGGAGGGAGGAGATGGTGGGTGAGGGGAGGGAGGGGAGATGGTGGTGGGAGGGGAGGGAGGGGAGGGGAGGAGATGGTCAGAGGGGAGGGGAGGGGAGGAGATGGTGGTGGAGGAGGGATGGGAGAGAGGTGTGGGAGGGGAGGGAGGAGATAGGGTGAGGGGAGGGAGATGATGGTGTGGGAGAGGAGGATGGTGAGGGGAGGGGAGGGAGGAGGAGGAGGTTGGGGAGGGAGGGGAGATGGTGGTGGGGAGGGAGGAGGAGATGGTGGTGGAGGGGAGGAGAAGATGATGGGAGGGAGGAGATGGTGGGGAGGGGAGGAGGGAGGAGGAGATGGTGGGTGGGAGGAAGGGAGGAGATGGTGGTGGGAGGGAGGGAGGAGATGGTGGTGGGAGGAGGAGAAGATGATGGTGAGTGGAGGGAGGAGATGGTGGTGAGGGGAGGAGGAGGAGAGATGGTGGGGAGGGAGGGAGGGAGGAGATGGTGGTGACGGAGGGAGGGAGAGATGGTGGTGAGGGAGGGAGGGGAGGAGATGGGTGGGGTGGGGAGGAAGGGAGAGATGGTGGTGAGAGAGAGAGGAGATGGTAGAGGGAGGGAGGAGATGGTGGTGAGGGAGGAGATGGTGAGGGAGGAGGAGATGGTGGAGGGGTGGGAGGAGATGTGGTGAAGGAGAGAGAGATGGAGGTGAGGAGAGAGGGAGGAGAGATGGTGAAGGAGGGAGGATGGTGGTGAGGGAGGGAGGATGGTGGGTGAGGGGAGGGAGGACATGGTGAAGGAGGAGGAGAGGAGGTGAGGGAGGAGGAGATGGTGGGGGTGGAGGAGATGGTGAGGAGGGAGGAGATGGTGGGAGGGAGGAGATGGTGAGGGAGGGAGGAGATGGTGGTGAGGGGAGGAGAGATGTGAAGGAGGAGGAGATGGGTGAGAGGAGATGTGGGAGAGGGAGGAGATGGTGGTGGGGAGGGAGGAGATGGTGGGGAAGGAGAGAGGAGATGGTGGATGGGGAGAGGAGATGGTGAGAGGAGAAGGTGGGAGGAGGAGGAGATGGTGGTGATGTAGGAGGAGAGAGGTGAGGAGGAAGAGATGGTGGGTGGAGGCAGGAGGAGATGGTGAGAGGGAAGGACAGGAGGAGGAGATCAGGTGAGGAGGAGAAGATGGTGGGAGGAGATGGGAGGAGGGAGAAGGTGAGGAGGGGATAGGAGGAGGAGAGGATGGTGGTGAGGAGGGAGTGGGAGGGAGGGAGGAGATGGTGAGGGGAGGAGGATGGGAGGGGAGGGGAGATGGTGTGGGAAGGGATAGTGGTGGAGGAGGGAGGAGATGGGAGGAGGGAGGAGATGAGAGGGAGGGAGGGAGGAGATGGTGGGGAGGAAGGGAGGAGATGGTGAGGGAGGGGAGGTGAGGAGGGAGGAGATGGTGGGTGAGGGGAGGGGAGTAGATGGTGGGAGGGAGGGAGGAGAGAGAGTGAGGGGAGGAGGAGATGGTGGTGAGGGGAGGGAGGAGATGGTGGGAGGAGGAGAAATTGAAGAGAGGAGGATGATGGTGAGGAGGAGGAGATGAGAGGAGGGAGGGGAGGAGATGGTGGTGAGGAGGAGGAGATGGTGGTGAGGGGAGGAGAAGATGATGGTGAGGAGGAGGAGAGGTGGTGAGGAGAGGGAGGAGATGAGAGGAGGATGGAGATAGGTGAGGAGGGGATAGTGGTGAGGGAGGAGGAGATGGTGAGGGGAGGGAGATGGGGAGGAGGGGAGGAGACAGAGAGGAGGAGGAGATGGTGAGGAGGAGGGAGATGGGTGGTGAGGAGGAGGATGATGGGGAGGGAGGAGATGGGGGAGGGAGGGAAGGGAGGAGGAGATGGTGGAGGGAGGAGGAGAGATGGTGTGGAGGGGAGGAGGAGATGGTGGGAGGGAGGGGAGGAAGATTGGTGGGAGGGGAGGAGGGAGGAGATGGGAGGGGAGGGAGGAGATGGTGGGAGGGGAGGAGATGGTGGTGAGGAGGAGAGATGGTGGGGGAGGGAGGAGATGGTGGGTGAAGGAGGGAGGAGACAGGTGATGGGAGGGAGGAGATGGTGAGGGAGGAGGAGGGGGAGGAGATGGTGGTGGGAAGGGAGGAGATGGCAGGAAGGAGGAGGGAGAGGTGATGTGAGGAAGAGATGGTGGAGGGGGGAGGAGATGGTGGTGAGGAGGAGGAGATGGGAGGAGGGAAGAGATGGTGGAGGAGGAGATGGGTGAGGGGGGGAGGAGATGGTGTGAGGGAGAGGGGAGGGGAGGGGAGGAGATGGTGAGGGGAGGGAGGAGATGGTGACGGGAGGAGGAGATGGTGGGGAGGAGGAGATA